TGCCCAGCCTACTTTTATCATATCTGGCATAAGAATTAATCACTTGAAATGTGACAACTATGCATACTTGTTGTATCATGGACAACTACTACTTTATTTATATCCCACTTCATGCCCAGGTGGCTTCAGTTCCACTTACAGAACAGATTCATAGTTTACAAAGATCAAAATAACCAGACTGAGGAAGCAGGGCAGAGGAAGTGGGAGTCGTGAAGACACTAAGTCAGGGGTCGTTAATGCTCACCAGCGAGAGGCCTGGGATCCTGTTGAGGGCCAGCTCTGCTCTCTCTGAGTAGCTGATGTAGAAGCTGGGACATTGTGACTTGCAGCCAGAGGAAGGAATGAGGCTGGAGTGACATGCAGGGCTCTGCTGTGTATTACCGAAGTTCAGAGCAGGAGCAGCCTGGAATCATGAGCAAGAGTTTTTTCCTTATACCCGCCTCAAACTCCACATGAATGGAAGAGACTTGATTTTCCCTGCTTCATTCTCATTCCTTCTTATGTCTATAAATTGTACCTCCTTCATCAAATTATTGAAGCTAAACATCTTTTTTAATAGTTTGTTATAATTTACATATCATACAATCCAGTGGCTTTTAGTATATTTGCAGAGTTGTATAGCCATCACCACAGTTTTAGAACATTTTCATTACCCCAGAAAGAACCCCTTAGCTGTCATAGCCCCTGCCCCCAACAATTCTCTCATCTTTCCCAACCATAAACAAAAACTAATTTACTTCTTGTTTTCTATAGATTTGTCTATATTGGACATTTCATATAAATCGAAGCATGTAATATCTGGTCCTTTGTGACTGGCTCTTTTGACTTAGCATACCATTTTCAGGGTTCATCCATGCTGTAGCATGTATAAGTACTTCATTCCTTTTTATAGTTGTATTTATCCCCTCATTAGTTAATGGACATTTGGGTCTAAGATACTGTTGATGTCTTTCTTTCCTCAACCTCCATGTCCAATCCATCTGTGAAAGTGCTTCTTCTACTTCCAAAATCATCACGTATGCTGAGATGATCTCTCACTGTCTAGCAGCCTCTGAGTGGTCTCCCTGCTTCCTGGTTGCCTCCCTCAGCTCCAGTCCGTTTTCTACACAGCAGCAAAAGTGAACTCAAAACATATCAGATC